CATTTTCTGGTATTTGCGTTATTGAGATTACCTGTTAATATAAATATACTGAGCCAAATTCTTGGAGAGGATAATAAGCGAACCAGATGCATGCTGGAAGTACCTAAAGCATAAAAAAATTGATCACATTTTACATCCGCAGTCCAGGAAGTATTCGATATATTTGAAGAAAATAACTACAATATTTCTTCAAGGAGGTAGATTACATACGATTTCTTGTCTCCAAACTTCCACCATTCTGGCTCATACCAGTCCTTTCCCCTGAAAAAAAAAATTAGCATTTCAACAGATGAGAGCAGAGAACACTTGCTACATTATGTAAGCACCATCATAAAGTTTAATTATCAAAACCACGAGTGCCAAAAATCTTGACCGTGCGAAAACAAATAATGACAGAAATGGAATAACAGAAATGGAATAATAGAGGTCATACATCCGCATTTTTATGAAAACAAGATATTCTTTCAATCAATACATCCGCATGCATTTTATAACAGAAATGGAATAATAGAGGTCATACTCTTCAGCAATCACATCTCCAGATTTCATGCATCCAATGTAAGTACCATCTTGTCCACGACGATGTTCAAGAAGCTCAATTAAACCCTCTACTTGGCCAAAAACAAGTTTCAATTAATCACCAACCCGTGATAAATGAATTTCTTAGAAATAGAGATTGTTGATTAGATGATCAACCAAGATCAAGGTCAATGTTGTCATCGACTTTCACGTAAAATTCTGCATCCCAATTTTGAACTGCTGTAATGAAAAAGAACTTGGCCTTTTTAGGCAACTCATCATCAGCTTCTTCATGACCTTCCTACAAAATAAAGGGAATGCGTCGGTGGCTCGAAGAATCACATCAAACATATGTATGAATTAACAATTCTATATTTTGCACAACATCAATACATTAATGCGACACTCCTTAACAAACCATCGACAGATGATATTGTCTAGAATTTAGACCACAATGTAAACAAGTGAACATGCAGGCGCAATAATAACTACCATGAGAACCATGAACAAAAAAAGTTGAGTTGCTAATTCTAAGTGATTGAATAGGTGATATACGTAAGGCTAGAACTTTGATTACATACAAGTATCAAGAAGTCCTTAGTTGAATGGTTTTCCTTGTCAATGTTGCGGTCCAAGGTATCACCTCGGTTTGCACTGCCAATGCCAAATCAATAAAGTTATGAAAGGACATACACAGAAAATAGCTATGAAGTACAACAATAACGAGATAAAGAACACAATGCCATCAAATAAAAAAAATGGCAGTGAAGAACATTGATATGAAAATAGAGTTGAAAGTGGAAGGAAAACCTCCGACCAATAACAAAGCGTATAACCACCCCTCTTTCCTCCAGCTTTTTCAATGCATCACCTATAAATGCCAAAAGAAATATGATCATACATCATCAATTACATGTTCAATCCACCCATTCCTGAAAATTAAACCAGTAAATATTTCTTGGATAAGTTACAATTTAGCCCATGAACATGTGTCTATTTGGTCTCTCAAACTTCAAAATTACAACTTTAGTCCTTGAGCTATAAAATTTTTTAAAATTCACGGATCTAGACACAAAATTGAAAATTTAGAGTTCTATATTAGACATAAAATTGAAAGTTTAGGGATATATTAGATATTTTTAAAAGCTTAGGAACCAAATAGACACCATGGACACAAACGTCGAAGTTCATATTTTAAAGTAATTTTATAAGATTAAAATATTCTAGCAGATAATACATTTCTCTATAAATACTTTATTATATCCTTAAAATAACACATTTCTGCATCGCAAAGATGATAAGATTTTCGTGTTGAATCCAAGCATCACTCTCGCTCTAATCCACAAACTCAATTCAAATATTAAATTTCAAGATCTATTTATGTGAAGCGTGGCTTTTCCTCTCTTTTTTATCCCCTGCTCCTGTTTAATAAACCAGGTTGAATTGCGATGAGATCTATTATTACTGCCCACCTATTACAGGCCCCTACAGTAAGAGGAAGTCTTTCATTTACGAGGAAACATGTCAAAATCAACAAAATCAGTTACAAACCACTGATACCATGACATGCTAGATCTCATATGATTGAAGTCTGATATGTGGATCACTCCTAGAGACTATTAGAATCATAAATACTGTTTACTTGAACTAAATATTCCAATGGACCTTTGCTAGCTCAAAGGTAAAAAACTAATAGGTAACTAATTTTCTGATACTCTATTGAACCTCGGTCATTATAAATTTGGGATCACTGGAAGAGTTAAGTGCCATAAGACAAAAAACAGTTGTTTTAAATGAAGCTCAGCGAGTTGATTCACAGCCCCAATCAAATAATATCTAAAACTCGACTGACCTTTTGGCATCCAAGAACCTCTGAACGCATTGCGCCTCAGTCGACTTCCAAATCCGGTATGAACACCGATAACAGCAAGGAGCTTACGGCTAGGTTCAGAAGAAGATCCACTTTGTCGCAGTTGATTCTTCAGGTACCCTTGACTCTTTGCTAATGTTAAATCCATCTCCACTTCCACAATTCTCCTCTCCAAATCTCTTAATAAAATTATATAAAACTTTTAATTCAATAATATGTAAAACAATTTAGATTGGTATTTATTTTAGATACTACGTAAATAAAAACAAATTATACAAAGAAAGGGAAACAAAATGTCCAGCCCTCACAAGAAAGACACAGGAGATCATTCGTAAGAGGGAATGTTTCAAAACAAAGATTGGGTTTGACGTGAGAATCAAGAAAGGAAAATTAGGCATATACTTGCAACCCAGGACTTGCAGCTTATCTTCAACGCTCAAAATCAAGGGTCTCTGCATACAATAACATAATTTTAATGAATTAAGGGTACCACGCTAAACAATGAATGACAAAATCTCCAGATGCATGGCGAATTAAGGGCAGGACGTGGAGGAAAACGATTACATGTAGAACTAGAAATGCTAGCAATTAGCCAATATGAGTACAGTACTCATTCAAATTTTCAATTCAATTAAAATGGCCACGAAAACTGGCAAGAATTCCAGTGTATTTCTCTCATAATTTAATTAATATACCTGGGACGCGTTCTTCTGTAAGAGACTAGCAAGTAATTTCCTATTTTCTGCATCCTGCCATAGCCTGAAGAAACCAGACCAAAAACAGGCGGTACAAATGAATTTATAAGCAAAAGTCAATTGAAAGAAATGCAATAAATTCTCTCTCTCTCTCTCTCTCTCCCTCTCTCCCTCTCTCTTTCCCCAGGGCGGAGGGGTTGGGGAATGCATTTCCGGTTGATCAAATGATCATGCAAAAATTACAAGCGAAAAATCCCAAAATAAAAAAGAAAACAGCTAGTACGGCAACGAAGCCGGCAGCCAATGTGAAGAAGAAATACATCGGCCTGATCGATAGCCAGGTCAACTTCGATTCAAGAGTGAAAACCAACCGGAAGATCCAATTCAACCTAAACGACAGTGTACTATGACTGTGTCTCAATGTTCCAGATTCAGATTCTACCGTTCAACATTATCAGGGGAGCGCAAAGAAATTGGAAAAAAAAAAAAAAAACCGAAAATGGAAGAAGCGCATACCTGCCAGCAACATAAAGCCAAGCAAGACAAGAGAAGAATGCCATAAATATAGAAGGTTTGGAGGTGTAGAGAGGCTTGGATCGAGCTCGCCTTTCGGGTTTGACGGTGGTCGGCAAACTCTCCATCTCGTCAATCTTGTGGAGCAAGAACGAGAAGGAATCGGAGAGGGATTGGTTCAAACACAGAGATTGTTGGCGTTCATAATACACAGACGAATTGCCATAAAAGGGAAACAGAAACAAGGAAGGAAATCGGTAATGCAAACTAACTGCAAAACAAGGAAGGAAGAAGACGAGAGTTGAGATCGAATATTGTATTTTTCAAAATTAATATTTATAAAAAAAAATCACAAAATTAACAAATTTATTTACTCTTTTCACTAATTTTAAATTAAAAATTTATAATAAGATTAAAATTGAAAACTTATATCATGACCGATTATGTATCAATAAATTTAATATTTGTTTCTCCTATGTTTATCTTTCCACGTATGCAATGAATTGTCTTTGTCTTCACTTTCACTCAAAATAGTAAGTGATCTGGCTTTTCTTTTTTTCTTTTTTCTTTATTTAATTATTAATAAGATAATTCAAAGTAACGCTCACAAGTCCCAATTCATTAATAACATACCTTAAAAAAAATCACCGTTAATAATTCAATAATATAATAATAGTATCATACCTAAACGTTTAATTTAATCAAATTACACTTCAATATGGTAATTTTGACTTTAAACTCCTAAAATTTTTATAATTTAATTTTCTAATAAATTTTCGTTCAAAATATCATTAAAAAATTATTTAATTCAACACTCTTGGAAAATTGATAAATTTTTTTTTTAAATTACAATATATCAAACTTAATATAATTAAAATATTTAATTAGATTTTTTTACTGTAACATTATATTTTAAAATATATAAGTTTTAGAGAGAAAAAATAAATGTGTATATAATCTTCGTTCCATTTTCAATTTTAATAATAGAGTGAAAATACTTTTTGATCCTTCTTCATTTACGGTATAAATGAGGATTCATACCTCAATCGAGATAAGTTTCGATAAATGGACATTTATAACCCTTACTATTTATCAAATAGTTTAATATAATTTATATTTATATAGAATTTTATATTTAAATATAATATATACTGAAATAATTTTTTTAAAGAAATATAATATATTCCAATAAAAACAAAGAAATAAATTAGATAATATATTGCCATTTTTTAAAACAAAGATATTTATTTATTTATTTAGAAAAAAATCTCAAAATTGAAATCTCAATTAAAAAAAGGAAAGCAATATTTCAAATATTTGATTTTGCCAAAAAAAGAAACAGAATTGAGAATATTTTACCAAAATTAAAAAACAAATAAGAGAAGGGTATTTTGGGGAATTACCCTAGTGCCCATGCCATACGATCCGGAGTCGACTCAAGTCGTCCCGACTGGCTTCATATTAACTTCCACAAGCCTACTGCGATATCTTCCTCAGCCAAAGAAGAAAAAAACAGAGACAACAATGGAGGTTTTTCACCTGCCGACTACACCACCACTCCTCACTTCGATCGCCGCCGCCTCGATTCTCCTTTTTCTTCTCCTCTCCGACAATTACTCCGACCGATTCGCAACCAAATCTCCGCCTCCACTAAAATCCACGCACCTCCACCAATTTCCTCCGATTTCCGATCGATTCCGAGCCGTTCACTTGCCGGAAATCTCCGAGGAGTTTCTCGCTCATCGCCTTAATCTAGTAAGAAATCAAACACTGATTATCTTCATTGAATGAATGAATTAATGAAAGCTATTAATCGATGCATGTATGCTTCTTCAGAGAAAAGCGATGGAAACGAGATTGACCAGAGACGAAAAGCTCGAACTAGGGCTCGCTCGGGCTAGGGCGGAAATTCGCCGAGCGGCGAAGGTCTCAAACTTATCGACCACCGTCGATTACGTTCCTTCTTTCGCAGTTTATCACAATCCCCGCGCTTTTTTTCAGTGAGTAAATCGGTTTTTAATCAATTTTCACTTTTAAAAAACCATATTAATAATAAATTTGCTCCTAATAATTAACATTTTTTTTGCTATAATCATAAATTAGATGATGTTTAAATATAATATATTTTATTTCTTGATGTATTGTTAAGCTTTTATTTATTTATTTATTTATTTTTGGGAAAAGAAATTACGTGTCAATTTTTATGTTTACGTTTTTTTTTTTTTTTTTAATTCCCTTTGTTGGGTGTAAAAATGAGTGCCACGTGGGAATACTTATGGTCAAAGCGTCTGTGGGGGGTTTTATTTACGGACTTCAGGCGTGTTAAGTGCGCACACTCGATTGCACGTTACTCAACTTGCGACAGTGAAAGCCACAGCCTTTCTACTCATTACTCTGTTCTTTTTCTCTATAATTATGAATTTAATTACCTTCGATCATTTTTTTTTTTTGTTTAGTCCACTAACCCAAAATCATTGTGTAGCGGTCCTAGTCTACCACTATTAGATATAGTTTACTTTGATTTTTTTCGAAAGGTTTTTAAAACACATATATTAGGGAGAGGTTTGTACACGCTTATAAAAAAAATGTTTTGTTCTTTTCTATAACTGAGGTAGAATCTCACAATTCACTCTTCCTTCGAGGTCTAGCGTCCTCGCTAACACTCATTCTCTTCTCTGATCAATGTGGGACCTCTCAATTCATCCCCTTTCGGGCCTAGCGTCGTTATTGGCACATCTCCTCATGTCCAACTAGGCTCAGCTTACTCGCTGACACATCACATTGTGTTTGTCTCTTATACCATTTGTAACCATCCAAACCCACTATAGTAGATATTGTCCGTTTTGGCTTGTTACATATCACCATCCGCCTCATGGTTTTAAAATATGTATGCTAGGGAGAGGTTTTCACGCACAAATAAATGCTTAGTTCCTCTTTAACTGATATGTGATCTCACAATCTACCATCTTCGTAAGGCTAATGTCCTCGTGGCACACTGACTATACTTTTATATTGTCTTCTCTGTGCTCTTTCTCAAGATTTTAGAACACTTCTACTAGCAAGAGGTTTTCACAGGGGACGACATGAATCTCGTAGATTATGATGGAGTAATAATAATTATAATGAAGAATTTCCCTTGGAACTCACGGAACATTATACAACTAATACAAGCTTGACGCAGAAGCCGAAGCAGGTTAGCTTTTACAGAGCATAACTAATGATTATGGTTCAACAGGAGCTACGTGGAGATGGAGAGAAGATTCAAAGTGTACGTGTACCCGGAGGGGGATTTGCCTTTAACCCACGACGGGCCGTGTAAGAACATATACACAGTGGAAGGGAGGTTCATACATGAGATGGAGCATGGGGCGAATGGGTTCAGGACGGCGGATCCGAGTGGGGCTCATGTTTTTTTTATGCCGTTCAGCGTGGCTTGGATGGTTAAGTACTTGTATGAATATGGAAGCTTTGATCAAACGCCGCTGCGGGTGTTTGTGAGTGATTACGTGCGGGTGGTGTCTGAAAAGTACCCATTTTGGAATAAAACAACTGGGGCTGACCACTTTATTGTTTCATGCCATGATTGGGTTTGTTTCTCTTTTCTTCCTTACAAAGTTACCTTACTTTTATGTTTTTTTTTTTTTTTTTGTCCGAAATTGTTCGGAGAGTAGTCCCACGTCTTAGATCTTAATTAAAAAGTTGATCATGAGTTTATTAGTAAGAAATACATCTCCATTAGTACGAGAAATTTTCAGAAACCAAAAGTATAGGCATAAGAACATGTGTTCAACTTAGTCAAGTCAATAGCATTCTCAAGTGTAACAAAAGGTCTTTTGTTGGAGAGCTCTAGAGAAAGACTCCAACTTCGATTAAGAGGAAGTTGTTTGAGAGCTTCATAGGCCTCAAGAAGGCTGTATGATTTACTTTGTTCGAGGGAAGGATAGTTGAGAGAGGAGTCCCACATCAACTAATTAAGGAGTTGATTATGAACAAAGGGTATACTTTGTTCAATAGCTCTAGAGAAAAAGTCGAGTCTTTGATTAAGGGAAGACTGTTTGAGAGCTTCATAAGCTTCAGAGGATGTTCTATGATGTACTATGTTCGAGGGGAGGATTGTTGGGAGAGGAGTCCCACATCAGCTACTCGAGGAGTTGCATAAGCTCTTACGCTCAAAGTGGACAATATTATGCTATGTCGTCAGTTTTAACACAATTTTCATTATTTTTGTTTCCCATGAATGAATAGGGTCCAATTGCAACAGAAGGAAACCCCTTCCTCTACAACACATCCATCCGCGTCCTCTGTAACGCCAACTCCTCCGAAGGATTCAACCCACAAAAAGACGTCAGCTTACCGGAGATCCACCTCTACGACGGCGACATATCCCCGAAGCTACTGTCGCCGCCAGACACCCAACGTCCCCACCTAGGATTCTTCGCAGGCGGTAACCACGGTCCAATAAGACCCATAATCCTAAAGCACTGGAAAGACCGCGACAGCGACATCCGTGTGTACGAGTATCTCCCAAAGGGGCTGGACTATTACGAGCTAATGCTGAAGTCAAGATTTTGCCTGTGCCCAAGTGGGTACGAAGTGGCAAGTCCCAGAATCGTGGAGGCAATTTATGCTGAATGTGTGCCGGTGATTATTTCGGAGAAGTACGTTTTGCCGTTCAGCGACGTGTTGAGATGGGAAGGGTTTTCGATTAAGGTGGGCGTGTCGGAGATTCCGAGGTTGAAGGAGATTTTGATGGGGGTGTCGGAGGCAGAGTACAAGAGGCTCAAAGAGGGTTTGAGGATTGTTCGAAACCACTTTGTGTTAAACCGTCCGGCTAAGAGGTTCGATGCTTTTCATATGATTTTGCATTCGATTTGGCTTAGGAGATTAAATGTAAGACTTGCGTAGCTATAAACTACACTTCATTGTACTTTAGGAGATTGGGATGGATGCCTTGAAAGTGTTCATTTGCACTTAGAAACATTGATATATATATCTATACTGACAGATGTTGATAGATAATGCTAGAAATACTAAGATTGAGATACCCCCAATGATTCGATTTCACCACAGGCCAAAGCCTGACACTGAACAGTGGGTTTGAGCGGTTATTAATGGTATCAAAGCCAAACATTAAACGGTGTACCAGCGTCTTCGCTGGCTCTCATGAGATCCGACGTAACATGCTGATATTGGATCATCCAATTCACGTAGAAATGAGAGACATCATGGTTGTTTTGAATATCAGAATCTGAGAATAGTTTTGTTCATTAAAGATTTGGTTGAAATTAACAGCCTGGGGGAAGAGAGGACACATAATTTAGCACTAAAAAAATAGTACAATGGACCCAACTTTCATTCATCGCTGCTCAAACTTTGAACGCAGGAATCAAATCTCTCAGTCTCTGTCTCTGTCTCTGCCTGTTCGCTCAAGCATCATCTCCCTCAATATCAGCCTAAGCAGAAGCAAAATCACCCACCTGCATACACAACACACACACCCTCACCTTACTTTTCTTCAAACCCTGCTAATACTAAAAAACGACGGTCCCTTTTAACTTATATCACGATCAACTTCACGGTTTAAAACGCGTCTGCTAAAGAGAGGTTTTCACTCCCCTCTCTAACCGATGTGAGATCTCACAATCCACCCCCTTACGGGGCCCAACGCTTTCGCTGACACACAGCCCAATGTCTAGCACTAATACAATGTCTAACAACTCAAGCCTACATTCACAGATATTGTTTGTTTTAGCCCGTGTTGCCGTCAGTCTCAGTTTTAAAATACGTCTGTTAAGGAGAGAGGTTTACACACCCTTATAAGGAGTGCTTGATTCATTTTCCAACCCAACAGAGGTGGGGATCTCACAATCCACCTGCTTTAGGGAGGTCAGCATCTGGTTCTAATACCATTTGCAACAGTCCAAGCCCACCGCTAGTAAAAAATGTTTGTCACGTCTGTTAGAAAGAGGTTGTCACACTCTTATAAAGAATGTTTTGTTACTCTCTTCAATTAAAGTGGGATCTCACCCGGCATGCATGGAAGAATGTAGCTTCTCGGGAGTTACCTTAGAAACGATCATCCAATTGGCGTGGCTCAACAAGGATATAAAGTGGCTTTCCATTGAGCCTGCGCTGTCCCTTAACTTCGCGCAATCCAACAACACAGGCACATTCAACGACTTCAGCACCCATCCGTTCTACCAACAAAACAGAGAGACATCAAATTAATAAAATAACGATGGACCCACTAGATCATAGTTTTAAGGGAAACATAATCATGAACGACAATCATTTTAACCAAGAAATCTAAACACTATGATTGATCCAATATTTTGGTTTCTAGTTCAGACAAAACCATGGACGACAAAAACAACCAACGTTTTCCCACGGACTTGCTGCTTTTAAGGTTAGAACAGCAGCAAAATCCAAAAAAACTATCACTTTTCAAAGATCGTGTTCATATGTAAAAGAATCTAAAATACCCAGAAGCTTGATTGCTGCTGATAACGTTCCACCAGTGGCCACTAAATCATCGATAACCAATGCACGTTCCCCTGCCTTCACGGCATCATTATGCATTTCTAAGCAGTCGGTTCCATACTCCAAATCATAAGCTTCTGATATCACTTCGCCTATGACACAGTAAACAATGGCTGTGTGCTTCAAAAAACAGGAACTTTTGGGGGATTTTGCAGTGATGGAATGAACTTACCTGGAAGCTTTCTGGGTTTTCGTAAAGGAACGAACTTGGCACCAATGGCTAAGGCAATCGAAGGGCCGAACATGAATCCCCTGGCTTCTACCCCTGCATTTCAGAGCATCCCACGAACAGGGGATTAGCAAATCAGATCGGTAATTGAGAAGAAAAGGTTTATAAAAAACCCATAATTTCTTGGGACAGCATTTTTTTTTTTTAAAGGGTATGAGATGTCGACAGCAAAGTACAAGAAGAAAGTTTTACTTTCCTTCAAACAACATCGAATGAGGTGTTTGAAAGAAGAGAGAGAAACACTAAATTCAGTAAGATAAAGAAATTTAAAAGACAAGAAGAAGAAATTCACAGCTCTAAAAACAGGGGAAACGAGAAAACCCACGAAAGTAGGAAGAACAAAATCTGCAGAACTTTCCATCCACGAAAAAAGGAAAAACAGAGAACAAAAAATCCTCAGACAATGTCGGCAAGAACAAACAGAAAATAAAAAAAGACAAAGAGATGAGAAGAAAACCAGCAACAACAGAGATGTTCATGCCCCTGTAACGATCGACAAAAATGTCAACAGTATCCTTAAACGCCTTATGATCCAGCAACAACGTTGTAATATCTTGAAACATGATCCCTATCAGCAAAAACCCAAATCAAAATGAATCTCAACTTCAATTTAGAACCAACAAAAACAGAGCACTCTGCCCATCCCAATCAAAAACTGTACAGAAACCATGAAAGAGAAACAGAGACAAACCAGGCTTAGGGAAGTGAGGAACAACTCTAATGGCTTGAGATATCCCCTGAAGCCTCGGGTCTCCCTTAAGACCATTTTCAGCTGCAAACATTGTGTTTCTCCTCGAAAAAGCTTGAGAAATGGTCAAAAGAACCAGAAACAGAGGTCTTCAATGGCGGTTTCCGTCCCAAGAAAAACAGAGGAGAGGGAAGGCGGAAGAGCGGCGTTAGGAAAAGATCGCTGTTATCTAAGATGTTCGAATAATGGAGTGTCTTTTAATATATTTTGGGGCCTTTTTTTTTTTTTTTGTTTTTGTTTATCAACGTTGTCCCGACCATAATACCTTACAACAGATAATTAAGGACCTCTACCCATCATCCCACGCGCAACACCAAATCGCGTGTAGTTCACCCCTCGAGTAACGCAACTCCATTTTTGTTCCGAAAAATATAATTTAAAATTCCAAAAATAAAAAAGGAAAATGTTACGTGGGTTTTTTAGTCTTTTAGGACATCAAAAGAACAAAGAATCCATCGTGAAAAGCGGAGCCCCGAGATTTTGACTACCTGATTCGGAATCCAGGGTCCGACTTTTCATAGAGCCCCGCCCCGCCCCGGTTTTTACTATTATTATCATTATTTATTTTAATAATTTCCTGATTTAACCTTCCAACTTGTTTCCAAAATCTATAAAGATTCGCTCACCTTTTTAAATTTTTTTATTTTAATTTAGATTTTCTAATAATATATATATATATTTAAAATTTAGAAATTAAATTATGAAATTTAAATAATTAAATTTTGAGCGGGAATGGATATTGTATGAGGCAATATTGATAGCAATAAATACATTAAATTCATTTATGTTGGTATCCACGTGTATAAAAAATAATAGCAATTGGGATTTGAAGGAGGTGAAATTAACTATCAAAAGATATGATTCACCGCCAAAAAAATCTTTGAAAAACCTCCATAAATATTGATGTGATGTATCACAAAGAGTGATTTTCACATTTAAGTTCGAGATTTATTGCAAAATTTAACTTCAAAATATCAAAATCAGGGTTCCATACTCGAACATGTTTTAACAAGTTCGATCTCACCTCCAACCATAATAATTTAAATATGTGAGATCTTACATTGAACAGAGAAATTAAATATTTTTTAGGAATAGCCGTTATATGAAAAATCTAAAGAGGACAATATGTACTAGTGGTGAGGTTGAACAGTTAGAAAACAATGTATTTAGTCCATGCTGAGTACGTATAGAACAATGACTAAAATTAGAGCATAATCTACAAAAATCATTAGTCTATGAACTATAACGAAAGAGTACAAGCAATAATAGAGGGAAAGTAATAGTAAACTTTTATGTACATGTTTTTTTTTTTTTTTGTAGTGATATGGATCTTCAATCATGCGCAGTCATAATTGACTCAACATACGACCACATCACGAAAAGATTTTGTGTAATCTTCTCAAACTCTTTAACCGATTCAAGCTTGAACAAAGTCAACTTTCTCATAGTAGTCACTCGGGTAAGGTTGAGTGCTATGCAAACCAAAAGACGTGTTTTATGATGCAATTTGAAACAAAAAAGCAGAGTTGTATGAATTAATCTCACCTAAATGTCCATTCAAAATTGAAATAAAGTTAGTGAGAAAATAAATGTCCATAAAGAGGCATGGGGTTTGTAAGGGCCACGCGTGGGAATGGGAAGTGGGAAAAAAGGACACACCTTTTTAAACACAGTTTGAGTGAATCTAAGCTACTAAGGCTGATGCTGAACCAACGTTGTTAACCCACAATTTTTTTGTTTTTTTTAAGAATCCTATGTTTCCAAATCTAGATTCTACATTCAACCAGAACAATATCAATTAGTGATGGACTTGGATTCTTACAGAGAGCTTCTCAACCACGAATCATCATAGCTACTAACACGACCAAGTTCATTGGATGAGTTTGATATCATTTATGATCACGAGAGTATCGGATTAATATCCATGATATCGATAAGGAGTTGTAAAGTTATTTGTCATGTGAGTTTGCTTTTAAAAACATCATTGGAAAACACAATCTTTTATCATAATTTTGTGTCCAAGTAATTAATTCCCTCCTTGCTTCTTTCCTTTTCGTAACATTTATTTTATATGAGAATTAAAAAAAAATAAAAAAAGAGGTAAAACCGTGAAAGAAAGTAATGAATGGGTTCCTTCCAAAATTGCCGATAGAATTTGGGGGAAGGGGGGGGGGGTGACAGAGAATCAAGTGGCAGTAGATTTTCAGAGATTTGGAGGGTGGTCCCAGGAAAGGTGGTCCCATCACAGCTAAGACAACGTGGCAGCTCGGAATCTGATCACACCGTACACGTAGCATGATGGAAAAGACCTAAGTCCCCAACCTCCACAGTGTCATTTATTTCATTTATGACTTTTGTCTTCTTCTGCATTTCCCCATTGACCAACCAACCAACCAACCAACCAACCATTTCTTCTTCCTTTTTTTTCTTATTTATTTATTTATTTTTAAAAAAAGACACACTGTGGGGCCCACCCCGCCTAGATACGCTTGACGTCATCTCTTACCATCTTCCAGACTCATAATAGCCAAATCACACT